ATGACCTTCAAAATGACCTTCCAAGGATTTTTCAAGGTCAGTACCATACTTCCCCCGTGTAACCCTAAACTTTTCATACGAAACATTTTTCTCTATCCTTACTAGTTTTCGAGATATTTGACTGGATCACTTCAGATGGTCCGCCCTGTATATATAGTTCTCTTACAGTATAACATACAATAGTAAGTATTTGTTTATGAGCTAGCAGTCTCTAGTCTTCTTAGCTATTAGATAAATATGTATATTGTTTTTAAAAACATTTAATACATAATAATATGTTATAATTTTGCTCTATTTTTTCACATAAAAATCAAATTCAGAGCAACAATCTGCAATGGTCTTGATTTCAAGAAATGTTATCAAGGTCATGTCCCTAAACAACATTCAAGAGATTTTAGCCGAACGGTCGAACAATTTGGATAATGCTAATGCTGGCGGTATTTGAAATTTGATAACTCATATCTCGAAAAAACTTGACCAAAAAGAGTTTCATTGTAATGTTTTGAAAAAATCTCAATGTCAGCTACAACAATATAGGAATAAAAAGATAAAAAGTGGAAATTTCCATAAAAAGTTTTTGACCTTGAGAACTCCTCTATACTCAAAGTTGAATAAGTATATATAATTTTTTAGCAATTTAGATATAGAATATTCTACATTTACATACAGTTTACATTATATTTACGTAAGATAATGTATATAATTATCTTATATATTTAGTATGATATATACATAATTAGTATGATAGCAATAGTATATATATGTAGTTCTTACCAACAGAACAATAGTAAATATTCTCTTTACATTCTATATTGACAGCCTCCCTGACATATATCAGGAAGATATACATATTATTTAAATAAAAAACCAAGACACGTGTATGTTGTTGGATTTAAGATATATTAATATATTATAATTTCGTTCTGTTTCTTTGTAGTGATCGATTTGTATCATAAAATCAAGAAAAATTAGGAAAAGATCCTTTAAAAAATGGCTTCCTTAAAATTTATTGTAAGTTTTTATTCAGTGATTGTTGTTACAATTTTTTCAAATAATAACCTGGACATACCTTGAAGATACTACGACTTATATCAACCTTTTTAGGTTACATTTTCCTTAATAATGATGATGCTGGCATATGATAATGCTGGAGCTCGTCCTTCACATCCATCTAACGTTATGTCAAAGGAAGAACAAGGTACATATATTTCCGAATACTTAATAAATACATATACAGTAAAGGGTACACCAAGGTTGCTCGAATACCATTTTGCACAAGTGTGAATAATCATTTCCTGTGTATATTTGCCTACTGAATACAAATTCGTTGTTCAAATTTGGCTATTATGTTCAAATTTTAAGAAAAACGACGGAATAAACTGCTTTTTCAGTGTATTATATAGGAAGAAAGCTATTTTTAAATTGTGCTGTATTTCTAAAACGAAAAATTATACTGAAACGAAGTGAAATGCATCATAAAACTAAAAGGCGATATTTCGATACTAACGAAATTTTTAAAAAATTTGCTGCTCGTACTATAACGTCTATTGGCCTCTTTGGCATAATTTTTCTTAAAATTATACATGATAGTGAAATTTGAATAACGGATTCGTGTTCAGTAGGCAAAAATACATTGGATACAACTACTTATATTCATGAGATCAAAAAAGACCAAATTGCGTGGGACAGTACAATTAATGCTGATTTATATTACAGAAGTAAATTATGAAAAAATGCCTATTACTACTAATGAAGACGAATGTGAGGAAACTCCTGTTTCTGAAGAGGAGTGTACTGAGGAAGTTACTGAAGAGGAGGAATGTACCGAAGAAGTTACTGAAGAGGAGTGTACTGAGGAAGTTATTGAAGACGAGGAAGCTACTGAAGAGGAATGTACTGAGGAATATATAACGATAAACGGGGAAACAAATGAGAAGGAAACTGAGGACTGTACTACAGAGGAGGAAGTTGAAGAATGTAAATTTGAGGAGGAAGATGAGGAATATGAAACTGAGGAGGAAGATGAGGAATGTAAACCCGAAGAAGAACCTCCTTGTGAGGAGGAAAATGAGAAAGCGTCAGGACATGCACAGTTCATGCTTGATAAACATGGTCCAAAGTTTCCGAAAGAGTGCAAGCCCAAACCCATTACTCCCGATTGCGAGGACGATGATGGAGACGACTCAAACGACTCAGACGACTCAGACAATGGAGGCGATGGAGACGACGGAGGCGAGGGAGACGACGGAGACGCCGGAGACGACGGAGGCGCCGGAGACGACGGAGGCGCCGGAGACGACGGAGGCGCCGGAGACGACGGAGACGACGGAGACGACGGAGATGACGGAGATGACGGAGGCAACGGAGGCAACGGAGGCAACGGAGGCAACGGAGGCAACGGAGGCAACGGAGGCAACGGAAACGACGAATCTACTACTCCCGGCAACGAGTCCACCAAACAAACTCTTCCAACTTTACCACCCTTAGGAGACGACGGAGACGAATCTACTATTACTATTCCCGGCACCGGGTCCACCAAACAAACTCTTCCAACTTTACCACCCTTAGGAGACGACGATGACGACGGAAGCGACCAATCTACTATTACTATTCCCGGCACCGGGTCCACCAAACAAACTCTTCCAACTTTACCACCCTTAGGAGACGACGATAACGACGGAGGCAACCAATCTACTGTTACTATTCCCGGCAATGGGTCCACCGAACAAACTCCTCCAACTTCATCACCCTCAGGGAACGCTACTCCCGGGACCGGGTCCACTCCTTCCGGCAATGGAGACGACGATGACGACGATGACAAACCTACTACTCCCGGCAACCAACCCACTACTATTTCCGACAACGGATCCACCAAACAAACTCTTCCACCCTTACCCATTCCACCTATACCACCCACAGCATAAATAATAGGATAGTTTTTCAAACACCAATGAATAATTATTGGAAAGCTTATTTTATTATAGACTCTAAACATATATATGTATAATATATTATATATATATATATATATAACTAAGTAAACGTTTAAGCCTATTTTGCTCTGAACACAATCTTATAAGCATTAAAGTATTCTGCTACACTAATTTTTAACTATAAAATATGATCCTTTTTGTGCACATTTATTATCATGTTTAGAAACTTTATTACGTAATGGGCTTACTGTATCAAAAAATAAAAATAAAAAATCAATATAACATTATTTTGAATTTTGTTTTGTTCTATACATATAAAATTATTATAATTAAATTATAATTATTCATACATATGTCTGCTTGTGTACATAAATTAGTTTGATATCATCGATAGGTATGCAAAATTGCGTTTTGTACTTGTGCGATAAGTACATGTACAAACCACAAATCGTGTGTAGTGTAAATAACATATAATTTATTATAAAAAAAACTTTAAAAAGTTCTAGATATAAGTGAATGTAAAAGTTTCTGAAAAATACTATTGTATCAACAATTTGTCCTTCATATCTAGATTATATGAAAGTATTTTCATTTCTTTTCACTATCCAATAGAATTTAGCCATCACTCTACTTCCAATTAAATTAATTCACGTAACATTGTGTTGAGATAATTCTGGATAATATTAGTAACGTTCAGTGTTAATTTAAGTCTTTTTTTAAATACCTTATCGAATGCAAGTGTTACCTATACACCAGAAATTGCTGTAAAATTTATGGGCAATTTGACAATTTCGGTATTTTTTCAAATTTACTATTATTTTTTAATGTGTGTTAGATTATTGCCAAGTTTCAAACCAGGCATCTGGACAAAGACGACTAAAAATCATCTTTAATTACAAATATTATGATTGTGATTATAGTGATTGATGGTATAACCATATAAAACAATCGCTTAAACGTAAGCGATTGATTAAATACAAGCAATTATTTGCAATGGTGGTAAAGATAAGCGCAACGTTTTTACAATTACGTACATAAAAATTGCTGGAAATAAATCAATTTAATAAGAAAATTGAGAAGTATTAAAATTTAATAATGCACCTTTCTACATAAATTTTAATTTTATGTCAGCATATTTAAATATAAAACTTTTAAAAACTTCGTAATATGTTTCAAGAAGAAAATGTTTATTTATTTTGCTCAGAAATAAGATTATACTAATTTTTTTTAAAAAAAAAAAGAATATTTTATTATAATAAAAATAATAATTCTTTTCTGCATAAATTATATATTTCTTTGTATATATACAAAAAAGTATACACTAGAGATAAAAATTGCTTGTTATTACTATTGTAATAATTCATACATTCGCCCGCAAAAAAATGCACTATCAAATTTTAACAAATTTTTCTAACATTTTTCAATAGTGATAACTCAATAAAAAATTATTGTAAAGAGTAATAGCTCAAATTAAAGTTTAAACATTTTCCTTGTCAGCAAAAATAATCAAAAATGTATTACAAAATGAAAAACGTTAAAGACTTTAAAAGTGAAAAAAAATTTCTTTTAACTATTATTTTGTTCAAAAGAGTCGTCTTCTAGGTAATAAAAATGTTCTTAAATTTATCCATTTCAAATCCATATTTTAAACATTTTTCTGACAATTTTTTTTAAATAATTAGGTATAGCATTTTCAAAAAAATTTTTATTTTTGTAAAAATTGTTTAACTTGAAAATAAATTATTGTAGAAAGCTTTATCAAAAGGAAAATTAAAGTGTAAATTTTAAGTTTAAATTTTCAAAGTTCTTTTATTGAGATGTACTCTCTAAAAGTGAATCAGTGACTTCAGTGCTACACTTATAACTTACGTAATCATTTGTGATTATTTATTGTTTTTCAGTAAATATTCACTAATTCACTTTTAGAAAGTACAATACTTATTGCAGCTAGGAAAAAGATTTTGTTTCCTTCCTAATAATATTGAATCAATGATCATTGATTTCATTAAATAGAGAATAATTTAACGAAATAAGTTGAAATGTTTATTACGTTCTTTTAAATAATATATGCAATTTACACATGATTAACCTGTGTCGATTCATAATGGCATTTTCCTTTGTACACAATTAATATCACTTCAGCTTAAAATTTTCTATATTTATTTTTTATTTTTTCGTAATATGATAAAATGTAAATTATTCGATTTTGAGAAGAAATGAGTAATTCTTTGGAAAATCATTATAATGTTTTAAAAAAGTAAATAAATAAAATATTAAAAATAGAAATATATTCTTTAAGGACACACGTAAATTTATTTTATATGTAAAATAAAACTGCCTTGTCATCTATTAAAAAATATTTTCTATTTTATATTCCCTATATGCATTTCAAAATGACAGCTGATTAGTTTCAACTTCTCATGGAACATCCTGTACAACACAAAGACATATAACATAGCGATTGCGCGCAAATTACTCAAATTACTCTTTTTCTATTTTTTTCTGACTTCTGCAGCGTAAATCCTCAAGTAAATACTAGACTTACCCTACAATTTTCTGGTTGTTTAGATATTAAACGTTCCGCACTTATATATTTTTGCTACATTATGCTTATCGTTAGTAATAATATAATTAGTATATAATTAACGTAAGAAAATGATATAATTAGTTTGATAGCAATAGTATATATAGTTCTTACAGCAATATACGACAGTGAATATTCATCTCTCGTTGTGTCTTTGTGCTAGCAATCTTCTTAGCATATCTATATATTTGGTAAATATCGGTTCTCATATATATATATTGTATATATATATATAAATGTTTAACACAAGTTGCATTATAATTTCGCTCTATTGTTTTTTAGTTAGGTACTAATTTGTACTAGAAGAAGGTCAAGGAATAATAAAGATAGAAAGACATTTTATTTCAACTTAATAGCATTATATGGAAAGTAAGTAACTTTATACTTATATAACATAAGCAGATCTTATTAAACTAGAAAGTGATATTAAAATTGACAAAATACAACATAACAAAAATATTATAATATTCTTATCATATTGTATTTCGTTAATATATGTGTGTAAAAAGCTATTGAGAATCTCCAAAATTATTATTTTATATTTTTGTACCGTTTTTATTTCTTTGATATTATTTTTCTCAAAATTTTCTCAAAATTTTAAGTAACCAAATTTGTATAATGGATTCGCGTTCAGCAGACATAAATAGGTCGGAAATAACTATTCACATTCGTGTTACAAGAAAGTTACAAATTTTGTTGAACAGTGTAAGCAATAATTATTTTTGTGTATTCTTTTTAATTTTATTTTATTTTTGATTGTGCTTCTATAAGTAATTGCCTTTTCGTTTTAATGTTTTCGTAACTTTATTTTTTCAAATTATGTAAAAAATATCCTTTTTTATTAATATTTTTCCTTCATTGCGTTAAAATATTACAATATCAAAATAATATAATAAATTTATTATAATTGAATAAAGTTTTGTATTCTTAAAGAAGCACATTTTTAATTTAATTCAATTTTTTATTATTATATACTTCTATTGAAAGTTATCCTACCCGCATATGAGAACAAAATTGACATATGCCCTCACAAAAAGTCTAAATTAAAAAAAATTCTAATTTATGTAACGATTTCTCGATTTTAATAAATGGTTAGATTAAATGCAAATAATTAGCCACGATAATAAAGATAGGTGCAATGTGTCTAAAATAATTAAAATTAAGTAGAAATTTTTTAGAAAATAAATAAAGTTAATGACAAAACTAAAAAGAATATTAGAATTTTTTATAGTTATTTTCAAATTTGATTATGTGCAAAGATATTTATAATTTTTAAGAATTTTGTAATATGTAAAAATGAGAAATAATTCTAATATTTATTTTAGTTTGCTCAGAAATAAGGTTTTTACTTTTAAAAAATATCTATTTCTTGAATTTTCAAGGGGTGTTATGCATTCCTTTGCACACATGTGCACGTACAAAAGAGTGTACACTTAAGATAAAAATTGTTTGTTATCGTTATTGTGATGACTCATATATAGTACAATTTTCTAATAATTTAGATACAGAATATTATGCGTTTATATGTAGCGTATATATGCATTACTTTAAGTAACCATAATCTACTTTATGCATACGTAAGATATTGATATAATATAAGTTATAATATAAATAGGTATGATACTAACAGTATATATAGGGTAGCCCACGTAAAGTGAGACAATCCAATAACTTGAAAAATTTAGAAGATACGGAAAAATGTTTCAAATTAACAAAAGTGAAACAGTTTCGAGGGGTACATATAATATTTTGGCACGTTGTTTTTTTTTCTAGGTGGAGACGGCAAAAAATACGAAAGTTCCCTCCACTTTTTAAATAGAATTATGTGATTTTTTTACATAATATAATTTCTCAAATAATTTTACATGTAAATGTAATAAGATAGATATTAAAAAACCAGCTTGCGAGATATTTATACTATATATATTCTGGTACATATTGATATAAAATATTAAAAATATTAAAAGTTGATACTTTTCAGTGTTTTAATGATGATTCTGGCAAACATAATTATGATGGAATTGTAACTAGAATAGTTAGGTACAATTAAACGAGCAGCAGAAATGTGATAAGTGTATTTCCGAATATATATCTAATAAATACATATTTATAACAAAAGATACACTAATTACACTGTCGAAAACCATTTTGTAACACAAATGTAAATAATCATTTTCGATGTATTTATGCCTATTGAACATAAATCTATTATCCAAAATTAGCTATCATTCTCATTGAAAAAAAATGACGTCAAAGAGATGAAAAATGATGATTTGGAAGTTTTTGAAAGTTACGTTCAAGTTGAGAAAATACAAGCAAAAAGAGTATAATCTTCTGTCATATTGCATCCAAGCAAAGACGATCGTCTACGACACTTGCTGATTGTAATGATAATGATGGTCACGTAAAACAAATGTCAAACAATAAGCGACT